GATGAGTTTTAAATACCACTGAGCTGCTAAACAGTGATATGAATGTTCTGTGGCTACAGGAGACACTGTGATGACAAAGACGTCTGCAGGAGGCACCTCAGTGGTGCAGTTCACAGGGGACCAACGGGCACCCCGAGACCAACCATAAGCAATTACCCACAACTGCAGTTAGTTCTAATCTGAAACAAGTGCACCGCATGTATTCTATGCTGTTACCTTCAGAAATTTTGATGTAGGTTCGTTGTCGGCTATTAATGTGACTTTCAGTCACTGCACTGCACTGATATACTTGGGAGCTGAGTTTCCTTATTATCAGGGGGAGAACATGCAAATGACTCATAATGTCTACAACAAGTTAAAGAAAACTTGCAGGAAATCTATCAAGAAAAACAATAAACCAGTGAAATAGCTGGGAGAGATGTTTGTGGAAATTTATTCTCACAATGATTTTAATACTGGTGTTCCCCATGTCAAGGTGCCATGATTCATCATTCTCCTATCAACTGAATCTTTTTAAAACCCTTGGAATATGAAACTTGAGTTCTCATTTCTTACATGTAAAACACATCAGATATTCCATGAAGTACATGCCTTGACCAATCCCTGTAACTAACAGCTCAATGAAGATTCGATCTTCCTAAGTGTCTTCTAATAACATTCTTACGTATTCTGAGAGTCAAGATATGAATTTACACTCAGGCTATGTAAACTAAACAGGACTTCAGCAGGGAACAGAAATTACAGATCAAGTACACACATATCGAAAAGTAAACAGTACAAAGAGATGAACTTTACTGTAATTATTTCTAGAAAGAGAAAATTATCAGCATGTCTATTTCTCAAGGGGGGAAGAGAGGGAAGGAGTAAGGAGAGGCCAGGGCAAAGGGGCCATGGAGAGAGGGGACAGTTAGTTCTCTGAAGGCACTTAGCTCACTGGCCAGGCACAGGATAAGGGGTCAGCAAATGACCATGTACAGTACATCCATACGTTGGAGGGAGTCCTCTATAAGGATATAAACAGTACGGTCAGAACCAAGAAAACACATCAGGTATCATTAAGGCCACGGTAGGTTTGTTTGGAAGATCTACTGGAATCAAATCATTTTACCAGTGGACTTCAGAATACCAGAGTCATGTAAAGTACAGAAAACTGAAATCTAAACTATAAAGTGATTTGCCTGTCATTACAACATAAGGACTGCCATGACAGAGACGATCTCCTTAATGAAACTTAATAAAAAACTCACAATTCAACTGTGCTGCTCAGTAACTTATAGCAAGTCCTTTTGAGCAGAAACACATAAAGTCATTTAAGAATAATTACTGCTAGCGATTTGGACTGTACATTAAGAGCTCTGTGTTGTGGAAAGAAGCAGCCATCAAAGAAGGATGTACTTTTCTCTGACAGGAGGAGAGAACTTCCACTTTGCTCATGGCCTTGTCTAGATACTAATGGGGACTGTGGATTCAAATGCCTTGCACAGCCTTGGCAGCTCATGGCAAGAGTCTTGGGTGGTCACTGACATCATACATAAGAGTGTATGACAACAGGAGTCACTGTGCACTAACTTCCCATGCAGGACCTCTGTCCTCACTGAGTTGTCTTAGGAGAGTTAACTGTAAAACTTGTTCTCAAATAGTTTTTTTTAAAATATTGTGTGTATGTGAGTGTGCAAATTGTTACAATCTTTACGTAGTATAGAGTTGGTCTTCTGTGTATAAAGTTCACCGAAAACAAATCTTAATGGAGAATAGGACTGGGAATGGGAGAGAGAGGAGGAGGTGCAGTGGAAGTGGGGGTGGGAAGGCAGGTATGGTGAGAACAATCACTATATTCCCAAAGTTGTACTTATAAAATTTGTACCTACTAAATAAAAGTTTTTTTTTTAAATTTTTTTTTATTTTTGACAGGCAGAGTGGACAGTGAGAGAGAGAGACAGAGAGAGAAAGGTCTTCCTTTGCTGTTGGTTCACCTTCCAATGGCCGCTGCTGCAGCCGGCACACCGCGCTGATCCGATGGCAGGATCCAGGTGCTTTTCCTGGTCTCCCATGGGGTGCAGGGCCCAAGCACCTGGGCCATCCTCCACTGCACTCCCTGGCCATAGCAGAGAGCTGGCCTGGAGGAGGGGCAACCGGGACAGAATCCGGCGCCCCAACCGGGACTAGAACCCGGTGTGCCGGCACCGCAAGGTGGAGGATTAGCCTATTGAGCCACGGCGCCGGCTAAAAGTTTTTTTAAAAAAAGTTCTATGTTTTAGTTATAAATACTATAAATAGTGGTAAATGATATATAAATGTAAAATTCTAATATATTTAAGATATATACACATTTATTAAATATTCCACATAAAATACTGCAGAATATATATATATATATCTTTTTCATTATCTTTCGCAGATAACTTGATTCTATAGAAATTAACTGAATTCCAGTTAGAATGATTATGTGGTGAAAGTTAACCTAAATCTTTAGACTACATTTGCAAATCAAAGATAGGTTTCTGGGGCTTGGCATTGTGGCAGAGTGGGCTAAGCAGCCCTGTGCAATGCCAGCAAACCACCTGGGCATCGGTTCCAGTCCTGGTTGCTCCACCTCTGATTCAGCTCCCTACTATTGTGCCTGGGAAAGCAGTGGAAGGTGGCTCAAGTCTATGTGCCCCTGCACCCTTGTGAGAGACCCAGAGTGCCGGGCTCCTGGCTGTGACATGGCCTAGCCCCCGCCCAGGTGGCCATTAGGAGAACAAACAAGAGAATATAAAATCTCTTCATCTTTGTCTCTCTGAAACTCTGCCTTTCAATTAACTAAATTTTTTTAAAGATTTATTTATTTATTTAAAAGTCAGAGTTACACAGAGAGAGGAGAAGAAGAAAGAGAGAGAGGTCTTCCATCTGATGGTTCACTCCCCAATCGGTTCCAACAGCCGGAGCTGTGCCAATCTGAAGCCAGGAGCTTCTTCCAGGTCTCACAGGGGTGCAGGGGCTCAAAGACTTGGGCCATCTTCCACTGCATTCCCAGGACACAGCAAAGAGCTGGATAGGAAGTGGACAGCCGGGTCTCGAACTGGTGCCCACATGGGATGCCAGTGCTTCAGGCCAGTGCGTTAATCCGCTGCGCCACAGTGCCGGCCCCAAATAAATATTTTTTTTAAATAGGTTCTTATAAAATTCTCAAAGTCAGATTTGAACAAAAGGTGCTTCCTAAGCTGGGGTTCTGCTTACACACTGACTTGTAACAGAAAAGGTATTGGCATTCCCGCCAGCACAGGCAGCACTGGGAGGAGGAAGCATGCAAGCTGAGAGAAGGAACCTCGAGGTCGACAGCAGTGGAGACATATGACGACATGATTCGTTAAGGTCACCACCGTTTCTGCACTGCAGAAGCCCACACGCCCGGGTTAACACAAAGGATTTCCAAAAGAGGAACATGATCAACTCACAATGATTTCAGGGGTAACGCAGTCAAGCGACTATTACTGATAGACTCAATAAACTACAACTCGATCCACACCACTGACCAAACGCACGGAAAATTTCTTAATAGACGCATGCCTCTCACATGCTCACAAGGGACAAGAAAGAACAAATTGTGAAGGGCGTTCTTAGCCTTTCAGACTTGGTTGCTCTGACATGCAAACCACAGCCTCATCATGGAGCCTCTCCCTTCACCATACAAAGCATGTGCCTGGGGTTATCCATAGTCCTCCTTTCCTTTTCTTCAACTGTCTCCTAAGGCTATTAAGCCTTTGACACAAGACAAAAAAGATCTATTTGTATAACAAAATCAACTCTTGATTTCCCCATCTTCTAAAGATTAAAAATATGCAGATGCTGGAGGATGAAGGAGAGCTGGCAAACTCCTTTTTCTAGTTAGTACTTCTCTAACTTTATGGATGCCACCTGAGGCTTCAGAGTGGGGCTCAAGATACCCACACAGGAAGGGGTGTCCAAAAAGCTTATGAAGATGCGCATTATGAACAAAACGGTGCATGGACTCCCAAGGCGTCTCGCACCCAAGTAAGCTTATCTTTTCCTTTCATTTGCCCACAAACCATCGAAAGCCCTCCCTTGCCCAAGGACTTCCTGTTTAGGCAGGTACTGGTATTTGTTCCTTTGTTTTATCTCATTAGAGTGAGAAAGGCCAAGCTGTGTCCTCTGTGACACTGGCCTGGGTCTCCTGGCCCCTCCTTCCCAGTGCTCTCCTCAGCCTGATGGTGATGCCTCAGGGAGGCGGCCTGGGAAACCATCCGCTGAACTGTCATTCGGAAGTGGTTTACCTGGGTGATGCCTCCAACTATCACTCCCCATCAACTCCCCCCACACACTCCACCTTCCTCTCAATGTTTCTGTGTGTGGTAAATACAGGGGAAAGTGGATGTTTGATCCTGTGGAACAAGGAACCCTATTCTCCGTCTCCACCTGTGCTTACTTAGGTTAACACAGGACCAACCAGATTACAAACAGAAACAAAACTGGGAAGATCTCCCTGTTGGCCTGAGTGTAAGAATGCACAACGCATTACCAGCACAGGATAGGTCCTGGAAGGTGCTGAGAATGGCCACAGTGTCTGTTCCTGAAATGCATTCCTGCCCAGAAGCCTGGGGGACAGCAAGTGACCATTCCCCCCACTCCTGCAGGTCACCCTGTGATATGCTGCATTCCGTTCACATTCTACAGTCAGCACCCACATTCTATCAGGCCCTCCAGACTTCACCCCCTTTAAAGATAACACAAGGTTCTGCAGGTTGGGCAAATAAAAACACTCAAGAAAGTATACGTAACAGCTCCACCTATGACCATTAATGATACAAAGAAGTCCCTTCTCTTGGTTAGAGATGCAGCTTGTCCCACAAATGACAGCAGTGGGATGTACACAGTCTAAAACTGAAGAGCGAGAGGTGCAGCATTGCGAGCTCAGCTCAGTGGCTGGGCTCCGCGTGGGAGCACCTGCCACACACCGTCAGGAATGCCTAAGCAACGAACAATCTCACAGCATTACTTACCCTCCCTTGATGTAGTCAAGGAAAGAAACTTCTGTTTCTACCAAGAAGGAGAGTAACGTTACCTGGAAAAGAAAGCCAGAATTAGCTCTAGCAGAACTAACTGTAACCCCGAAGGACATTTTTCCCCTAAATGACACAGAGAAAACCCTACTTCCTAGCGTTTGGAAAAAGCACTAAATACATGATAGTTTATTAAAATCTGCTAGGACTGACTGCTCTTACGTTGAAAATTAGCAGAAGGGACTGGACCAGAAAAGAAGAAAAAATTAACTCCTTTCTATGACCAGTTTTCTCGCTTTGAAGAACAGCTTGAAAATTATCTAAGAGGACACTGTGCTCCTTCTGATTTTAGATCAAAGGGGAGATGAAAGGGCGCTGGAAAATGGTTCAAATTGAAAACTCAGAGTCAGTGAGCCACCTGCAGAGGGAGGGGCCTGGCGCTTCTGACTCGGCTCTGTGCACGATCATCTACCCTGCGGGTGTCCTGCCTCTCAGGAATCCTCACACAGGAACGCAGAGAAAACTCAGATTTGCCTCTCCAAAGGAAAGTTAATCTCAGGGGGAAAATTTCAGTATTTTTTACTCAATAAGATGATTTCTTTTTTTTTTAACACAATTTTCAGATACATTCATCTTTGCACCCTACTGCACTGATTTAGCGCAGCATCCATTCACACAGTTGTAACGTTTAATGCATTATCAACAAGCACCTTCACACCCCGTAAAATAAATCTACTTAACAGTTAAGGGCGACATTAAGGGTATGGTCTTTCTACCTTTTTTTTTTTTTTAAATTTTTATTTGACAGATAGAGTTACTGAAAGTGATTAAAATAAAATGCTTCTCACCTCGTATACATTGAATTGGGACTGCCCTCCAGAAAGTTCCCGGTAGCTTGTTGTAAATTCTCCAATGATATCGTGACTAAAAGGAAAAAAGTATACATTAAGTCTAGTGATCGTGGAAAAAGCTTGCTATTATTATGCATGTAATAATTATTAACTCTAAGAGACGGATATATCATTGTCCTCTAATTCAAAATCATGTATATACAAGTCTTATTTTTATTAATATTCAGATGTGTAGTCCACCAAAATTCATTTTACATAGGTATATTAGTATTAAGATCTGCAATCTCAAAAATATTTGTTATTAAAATAATTATTTAATAGGATGAAAATTGGAGACACTCCAATTCATTCATCAATGAAGTAATCAAAAATATACAGAAATCTTCAAACTTTCCTATGGCTGGGGGTAACAAGACACCACTACAGAAAGAAATGACATGCTAGTATGTCTAACAGTCACCAATCCGCTCTTTAATGACAGCAATTAACAAGTGTTTTGCTAGCACCAACCTGGTAATTCTAAACGTCATCACTACTTCTCGGGGGCCTTCTCAGTTTAGTGAGGAGGGGAAAGAAATGAGTAAGCAGGGGTGAGTTCTCACTGAGGTTGACCCACGCTTGCACAAAATAAACGTTCAGCACTCAGCCGCAGGGAGAGGACTTCTATTCTACTCCTCTGGAGTCAGCGTAATGCCCAATACTATGCTGAACACACAATGCTCTCTCCCTTTCTCTCTCTCTCTCTCTCCGCGAGGCTGGCAGGGTGGAAGAGGGCGCCCCGCCACCCCCCAGCACCCCGCCCCACCACGACCCCCTCTACAGCTCGGCTGAGTCGCCTCGCCAACGAGCGAGTCTTGCAACCCGGGACATTTTCTGGGGAGACGCCCAGTCTGAGGGCTGCTGGTACTGACGGGGAGGGACAGGCGTCCGGGACGGCCGGGTGAGCGGGTCCTGGTGGGGTGGGGGGCACACAGCCGCGAGGCTGGCAGGGTGGAAGAGGGCGCTCAGCGTAGCACCACCTCGAGGGGACAGGGAGGGCCGGCCCGGATGGCTAGGGCCGCTGGAAGTCTCGCAAGAGTACGAGCTGGGCCCCAGGGGCGCCTCCTGGCAGGGCATCCCGCTGCCCAGCGGAGGCCTGGCGACCAGGATGCCGGACCCGTCCCGTGAGCTGGCCCCGCTGCCCGGCCCAGGCGCGACGCCAACAGATGCTGCGGGGCTGGAGGCGGGGACTCTTAGCCCATGTGGGTGCAGGAGCCCAAGGACTGGGGTCATCTTCCACTGCTTTCCCAGGCCATTAGCAGGAAGCTGAATTGGAAATGGAGCAGCCAGGAATCTAACCAAAATCTGAATGGGACCATTATACCTTTTTGTCATAGCTCTTTTAACCATCCAATTCACAACATAATGCCAAGATTAGATCAGTCACTGGCTTGTGCCAGTTGACTTAGTATATGTCTTTACCAGGGCTTCCCAGGGGGAAGTGTGTCCTTTGTTTTCTTTACAAAGATTACAGAATGATTGGAATACCACTCTGAATACCACTCTATAATTGTTGGTGCATTTAGCCACAGTTTCCTATAAAATATCTGATGATTATAATTACACAAACCTGATTTTAGTGTCTATAGAATAGTCTCTATTGTGCATTCATAGTGTATCCAAGCTCAAAGCATACTTTTCATTGATTCAGCAGTCTTACTTTATTGTGAAGAAGCATTTGAACCCCAAATTTATGTGACCTAGCCTTGTCTACTTTTCAAGCACTGTGGAATGTAGTGTTTATTTTGTTTGCTCCAAGCCTTTTACTGGGAATAGCTTTTCTGAATGGAGTGCTTTTCTTGGTAGCTTTTTTCATGAAGTGCAGTTGTATGAAAAGCTAATTCAGACAAGTGAGGCTTTTTTTTTTTTTTGACAGGCAGAGTGGACAGTGAGAGAGAGAGACAGAGAGAAAGGTCTTCCTTTTGCAGTTGGCTCACCCTCCAATGGCCGCCGCGGCCGGCGTGCTGCTGCCGGCGCATCGCGCTGATCCGAAGTCAGGAGCCAGGTGCTTCTCCTGGTCTCCCATGCGGGTGCAGGGCCCAAGAACCTGGGAAATCCTCCACGGCACTCCTGGGCCATAGCAGAGGGCTGGCCTGGAAGGGGGGGCAATCGGGACAGAATCCAGTGCCCTGACCAAGACTAGAACCTGGTGTGCCAGCGCCGCAGGCAGAGGATTAGCCTATTGAGCCGCCGGCGCCGGCCCTAGACAAGTGAGGCTTTAACTCTGCCTAAGTGATGTTGCTGATAAATGGACAAAGCTTGAGCTAGGAAAGCAGCATTGGTCAGTTTCTTTGTGTTTAGACCTTTATGTAAACTCAGTTCACAGCTTGTAATTCTTCACCTATATACTCATAAGAAAGACAATTCACTTTAGGAGAAGGTAAAGCTTAACTCTTACAATCTACCAACAATAACAATATAATGGGATATAGTTTGGTATTAGCTTCACCCTAGCCTGTTCTATCAGTATGAGCTCTTAGGTTGGAATATAACTGTGGAAAGAAGTGCTTTAGTTACAACTCAGTAGGTAGCATCAATCTTGCCCAGCACAAAGCTGTAGGTGGTTAAAATGGCTTGCCACACTGATGTTCATGGTACTACTTTAGATCAGTCCAGTCCAGTAAGCGGTAGCATTTAAATAGCCCAACAATGTAGAAAGTGTGCTTTCATCTCACTTAAAAAGACTCTGGTGTGGGAATCTTTACTTCAAAGTTGGTTTTTAAGAGGACGTATAGATGATATTTCCATCAATTGTGGGCCACTTAAATAGTTTCTTCAGTACCAATGCTCTGTACACATATGACTCAATGTTTTAGAATTGGTAGATTGAGAGAGTGGGTGTTGGGTACATTGGTTAAGCCACCACTTGGGATACCTGAATCTCATATTGAAATGGAAGGCTTTGAGTCCTATCTCTGCTTCCAGTCCAAGCTCTTGCTAATGTGCACCTAGAGAGGCTACCGCTGATGACTCAAGTCCTTAGATCCATTCCACACTCAAGGGAGACCCATCTGAGTTCCAGGCTCCTGGCTTTGGCCTGGCCTAGTTCCTGATCATTGCAGGCATTTAGATAGCCAAGAGACGGAGACCCTCAAATAAAATAAATACATAAATAATTTTAAAAAAATAGGAATATTCATTATGAAATAGTTAAAACTCAAATCTCTTTTAAGCAAGTATTAATTTAAAGCATTGATAAACATAATTATTTCAATAGTAAAAACCAGTCTATAGAAGAGCAAAATTAAGCATAACACAGGAATCAAACATGATAAACCATAAAATAGTTAATATATACATAAATTATCATTGTTTTTCTTCAAACTTTTGCCCTAAAGAATAGCCAGTAACACAAAAACTGTGTCTGTGATGCTCTGAATCTCTATTTCTGTAATGATAAAGCTTCAAATAGTGATAAAGCTTCCAAATAGATACTGTACTCTTAGTGACAGGAAATATGTGGATTCTATGAATAAAATCAATAGATATTGGACTTGGTTACACTGTATCCATCAGACATGTCTTAAACCCTTTAGACCCTGCTGCTCAAAATGTGAGTTCCAGACCAACACATCATTATCACTTGAGAACTTATTAGAAATGCAGAATCTTGCCGGCGCCGTGGCTCAATAGGCTAATCCTCCACCTTGCGGCGCCGGCACACCGGGTTCTAGTCCCGGTTGGGGCGCCGGATTCTGTCCCGGTTGCCCCTCTTCCAGGCCAGCTCTCTGCTATGGCCAGGGAGTGCAGTGGAGGATGGCCCAGGTGCTTGGGCCCTGCACCCCATGGGAGACCAGGAAAAGCACCTGGATCCTGGCTCCTGCCATCGGATCAGCGCGGTGCGCCGGCTGCAGCGGCGGCCATTGGAGGGTGATCCAACGGCAAAGGAAGACCTTTCTCTCTCTGTCTCTCTCTCACTGTCCACTCTGCCTGTCAAAAAAAAAAAAAAAGATATCTTTAAAAAAAAAAAAAAAAGAAATGCAGAATCTTTAGACTCTTACCTCCATGGAATAACATAATTTGCATTTTAACAATATCCCCCCTTCAGATATAGTTTTAAAAATTAATTACATAAGATTGCCTAATTTCATGTATTTCATATATACAAGTTTGAATGTAATACTTCCAACCCTATCTTCCCTCCTGCCCATAGTCCCACCATCCCTCCTCCTTCCTTTCTAGTTTTTCTTATTTTTACAATGACATGCTTTCAGTGTATTTTATCATCACAAGCTTAACCCTGCCCCAAATAAAGAACCCAACAAGTAGTAAGTAGAAAAACCACTATTCCTCAAGAGTTTAGAAAAGGGCTGTAAACAATAATCAAATCTCAAAATGTCAATTTTGCTCATATATATTATATTTTTTGTGCTCTGAATATTAACTGACACAAATCAAGGGGAAATATATGCTATTTGTCTTTTTGGGGACTGCCTTATTTCACTAAGTATAATGGTTTCCAGTTGTATCCATTTTTTTGCAAAAGACAGGATTTCATTATTTTTTACAGTTGAGTCCATAGTGTATATATACCACATTTTCTTTATCCAGTCTTCAGTTGATGGACATTTGGGTTGATTACATATCTTAGCTATTGTGAATTGAGCTGAACTAAACTTGAGGGTACACATAACTCATATGCTGATTACATTTTGGTTGGGTAAATTCCCAGGAGTAAGATTGAGAAGCAATGATTGTAAAGGCCTAGAAACTCTGTAGGGTCTCTGTGGTGAAGTGTCTGTCCAGGGCCCAGGAGTTACAACCCAAATTAAGGCCTTTGTAGGGTAAGTTGAGGAGGTTGTTCATAAATTGTTAGAGTCCTTTGTTAAATTTTCAGAGCTATTTTAGGACTTTGATAAAAATTGCAAACATCACAAAATTCCAAGTTCAGAAATGCTATCCTGTACCAAAAACATTAGGATAGCATGAGTTCAAGTAGCCTACTCAATAGGTTGGTTTCCAACACTTTGACTATCTCCACCATTAGCTTAGGAAGATAAAGGAATTTGAAACACAGAGGTATTAAACTTGATC